TTAAACAAATAAACAGAATCAGAAGTCGAGGAGAACAAGACCAAGTTAATCTTATAAAAGGGCAGTAACCTTGGTTGTTTGGCATAAATCATCAGAAAAAACTATCCTAAAAGGTGAAAAACTATAACAATGGTGCAATTTATTCTTTAAAGTCATCAAAAATTGTTAACAAGTAAGCAGTCACACAAGAAACCAAAACGCCATACAGAACATTAATCTTCTTCCAAACAAAAGAACAAGTAGAAGCCAAGACTTGAAATAGACAAACCTGTCTTCGTGGCTCAAAGCGTATGGTTAATGTATGTACAAGAAATGGATCTAATGGTGGATCATCTGGCTTCACAGGGCGTAATGATGAAAAAGGAACTCTGACCTGCCAATCAGGTAAATGGTAAAACATAAAACCAAATTCATCTTTCTGGTGAGTGCTCAGAAGGGAGAAAGAAAATAGAGAAACTATAGTGTTACTAATTGAGGGATAAGAGATCATTACCCGACAAAACCCAACTTTTGTGTTTATTCTTGCAAAATACATTATGCTTTGAGCAGTATCTGCTGAAGGACCAGCTTCAAGAATTAAGACATATGATCTGCCATTCCCACCAACAGATAAAACCAGACCTTCATACCTAACCTCCAAATATTTCAAAAATGGAAACATGATAAGGCTTCTAGGGTGAATCTACAGGTGAGTATGAACAAAGATCAACCAAGAAGCAGCTTCCACTGATAAAAAGTACCAAATACCTGTCAAGAGTGTAACCCAGAGGGAGTGAAATCTTTTTGGTAAGTTCAACATATCCACCTCTGGTGAAAACATAACCTATGGTTGAATCACAAAAACAAAGTTAGACACACAAAGTGTGATACCTGTTACAGACAATTGTTCCATGTGAATGCATTAAAAATTAAATAACTCTGAACCAGGTAAAAATGTGACTTCACCTAATTCATACCTGAGAAAACAGCCTCTCCAGTCTCGGTGTACTCAAATTTAGCATCCATTCCTGCATCATACTTGAATGCTACCACATCCTGGAAGTAAGTTCCTTGACGTACTTCCCACCCCGTCAATGAATCTGCAGACCTGAACTTTGCCAGTAGAAGCTTGCTTTTGCTGCTTTTTCCCGCCCGCAGTTGTGCCAGTTTATTGTTGTAATCCTGCAGGTAGCATCAGATATCAGATTCACCATAGCCCACCAACTAGTGCCTATAGTTTGGACTCTGGTAGCATATAGCAAGGTAATGTGACCTCAAGAATCTAATCTGTAGCTAAATGATATGGTTAAATCATTGAAAATTACTCAATACAAAGGCTAGTCTAATTTGCATATCTTAAAGACTATTGAAAGAATAAATTTGAATGCTTCAGTTCAGAAAGAGCAAGAGCTTAGATTAAAATACAAAGAACCATTAAACAATTCAAAGGAAGCCTAAAGGATGCAACATGTAGCGTAGAAGGAATCATGCGTTCACATGAAACACATCTTAATGATTAAGAAAAGGGGATAGGGTGTTACACACTTGAAATGCTTTGGTAACATTGCAAACCCCTTGATGATCCACTCTGAAGAGATCCCCAGTGATGGTCGAGCGAGCAGTAGCACAATAAATAATCTTGTTGCAACCTTCTACAGCAGCTTTAAGGGTGGAAGGTTCACCTACATCCCCAATTACTATTTCCACTGATCTTGGAAGCATGTCCAACACTTCTTGGTCGGCCTTCCTAACCAAAGCCTGTCCATAGAATCGTAGAAAATAGATAACTACAGACATGACCAAATTGTCAATTCTACTAAAGGGTACCGGGTTTACATAAAAAGATTAAAGATAGATTGGCTAAAGCAAGAAACCTTGACAGTGTATCCCCTCAGCATAAGCTTACGGACAACCAACCGGCCAATGCGGCTGGTGGCACCAACCACGAGAACAGTGGTGTTCTGAGCTCCAGGGATGGCAAACTCGCACATGGGACCTTCCCTAATGAGTAATGCATCCAATGTGTCTTGGTCATCGGCTCGAGTCGTCCTAGATATCTGCCCTAGACCCGAGAACTTCCTCCAGACCTCGTCAAATATCTGTCTGGATTTCCGCCCCAACCCAACCGGATTCACGTCCTCCAAACTGAGCGACACCTGCTGTTGCTGTTGGGTCGCGGGAGTGCTCTCCGTTTCAGTTGATAGTGGCGAAATGGGTTTCCTGTTCTTGGGTTTCTTGCCACCTTTTCCGGCTGCTTGTGGGACGAGGAAAGAGCGGCGGGGAGGTTGCCAGTTGGGAGTGGGGCTGAGTCTCCAGTTAGGGGTGCTGTTAAGGCTGTTGCTGAAACTGGTTGCAGTGGCAGCACTCATTATGAATCAAAGAAACAATTGCATCTGGGAGTCGTAAATTGCAGCTGCTAATATTATTTTCTTTAATTGGAATTGGATAAGCATGAAATGAGAAAGAGATTGTTAATTTTGGAAGGGATGAAAAATCAGAGGAGAAAAACCAAGACCACAGAATTTTATCAGCGGTTTGGACTTGTTTGTAAGAAAACACAAATTGGAGCCAGGAAGCGCGCCACGTTGAGTTCATTTTTTCCTCACATTTCTTGACAACATTTTGATGATTTGAGGGTTAAGTACACCAAACCCCAAACAGCATGGAGGCAAATGCAACTTCCCCTAAAAAAATTAATTATATATATTATTTTTAAATTAATTATGAAAATTTTATAATTATAATATCATTTATATATTTAATATCATATTATACTTATTTAATACCATATCATTAATATAAATTTATCATTTTATGTAACTATAAAATTGCCAAATTAATTATCTTAACCAATAAATCATATGGTTCAAATGATCACACTCATGCCCTAAGAGAATAAATACTAATATTATCAATACAATTTCCACTTTTAAAAAAAATTAATTATGTTAATCTAATGCTAGCATAACGAGAACATTCTACAACCAAAGAGATAATTTATCTTGAAATAAGAAGAGAATATATTGCGTAAGTTAGGGAGAACAGGAATTAAACAAGAACCTTCGTTGAACCATATAAACATAAGTTCAGTGTCTATCCAAATGAATTTGCTGCTGTTTCTGAATGCTACTTTTATTTTTCCACCATTAAATAAGAAGCCATTCTACAAAAACGGGGGTCAAGGTTTGAAGGGGGAGGGAAAATAAAATAAAAAGGACCGTAAACTACATCCTCCCACATTCCTCTGTAAGAAAGTATTTATAAGATATTAGAACAAATATAGTACACGAGCCACACATGGATGGCATTCCACAGAATACAAAAAAGAAAAAAAAAAAAAGAAAAAAAAAAAAAAAAAAAAAGAAAAAAAAAAGGAAAAAAAATTTAATCCCCAAATCGAAGCCCCCTGCAAACCCCAACTCAGAAATTTTAATTC